TTATTATTATTATTATTATTATTATTATTATTATTATTATTATTATTATTATTATTATTATTATTATTATTATTATTACATGGGGTAGCCATGGGACTACTTTAGGTGATTCACAACCATAAAAAAAAGTTTAAACCAAGCAAAAGTAAAATAATAGAATAAAATAAACAAGGAATAAGAAAACAAAGAAAACACATTGATATGACTAGTAAAAAAGATGGTGTGGGGAGCAGACAGCAGTGGGGGGGGGGAAGAGAGAGCTAGAGCCTGGTGTCAAATTAGCAGCCAGCTCCAGACGCGAACTCCCCCATTGGGAAGAAATTGACATAATTCTCTGCACTATTATTTCAGCCACTTGTCTGCTGCACCAAGGCTGTTCCCGTTGTCAACCTCTGGCTGAAAAGCCCAACCAAGAAAAACACCAGAGCCATTAAGTCCTCTAATCTTTACTGAGCAGAATCATTTCGGTAGGTTCAAAGTGAAAGCTAGAAAAGTGAAAAAAAAAGAAAAAGTGGGAAACATGTAATTAAAAGAATGAACCTCCTCTTCTCCTCTCTGACAGTTCAAGTCATATTGCCCAATACATCTCCCAGTAATTATTATGGGAAGAAACTTTGGTTCACCAAAACAATTCTTCCACAGCTCCGGCTTTCTCATGATGATAAGAACACCTGTGGATCCAAAGCATTCCCCATCTCCCTCCCCGCTCTGTTGGCAAGCTAAAAGCACACAGCAGTCCTAAAGGCAGTAGGGTCCATAGCTTGACACCTGTCTTGATAAGGCAGCTAGGGAGATGGCTGTAAATGAGTTTATGCAATGGTATTGGCCTCTTTGAGGGACGTGGTGCTGTTAGGTTTGAAGGAGACTGTGTCATGTCCCTTCTTCAAGAGGCCATCGACTGCCCAGTCTCCCAATTTCCCTTTTTAGGAATGGGTGTTGAGAAACTGAGGATCCTATAGCTGGAATTGGGAACATTGTGTTAAAAGTGATTGTGATTCCTTCACAATCAATTCCGGTCAGTGTTGGGTGGGGGAGAGAAGTCACTCCCTAGACCCCTCCTTTGTGAGGTGCCGTAGGGCTTACATTCGCTCCTCTCTTGTTCAACATGTATATATTTAAATGTTTAAATGTGTGTTATGTATGTGTACACTTTGAGAGCAAGCAACTGAATTTCATTTTTTAATGTGTGCCATTGTGCCCACAGTAAAAAATGACAATAAAGGTTATCTATCTATCTATCTATCTATCTATCTATCTATCTATCTATCTATCTATCTATCTATCTATCTATCTATCTATCTATCTATCTATCTATCTATCTATCTGAAACCACTGGCTGAGGTCATTTATTAGTGTGGGCTCCACTGATATGCTGATGATATCTAATATTATTATTTGACCCTCGGTCAGCCAAGTAAGGCTATCAAAACCCCATTCCTGTGCCTGGATGTGATGCAGGACTGGATGGAAAGAAACCAACTGACTCAATCCTACCAAAACCAGGTAGGCTGTGGTTGTTGAGTCTGGCTAGATCTGTGAGAATTTCCATTTTTATTTCTAAATGGTGTAGCACTATTCCTCCAATCAGGAGTGGAGCACAACTTGGAGGTCCTCTAAGACTCAGAACTCCCCTTGAAGATTAAGAGGACCTCCATGCTAGTTGTATTCTTTCCTGAATTGAGTGGCCCTTCAGATGATCAATCATGCTCTTGTCACCTCACGGCTCAACTACTGCAATGTGCTCTGTGTTGGGCTATCTAGAACACCCTATGAAAACTTCAACTGGTCCAGAATGTAGTGGCCCAAGCAGTGATGTGCTTGCCTTGTCATGCCCACATGGTGCCTCTGCTGCTGCACTGATTGCCAGTGTGCTTTCAGATGAGAATCATGGTGTTTGTTATCAGTTGTATAGCCCTACATGGCATAGGGCCAGTTATTTAAAGGAATGCCCATCTCCCATGGTTTCTGCCTAGCTGGGTTAGTCAAACATAGAGAGTGTGCTCCAAATCCACTCACTTAAAAAAATTCATCTTTCAGGATCCAGGAACCACATTTTTGGATGGCTCCCACTCTAAGCATCTGAAAAGCTTGGATGGCTCTCATTCTAATCATCTGAAAAGGCTGTAGGATAGGGTGGTGAACCTGCAGCCTCCATTTGAGATGTCATATGTGTATTTGTATGTTGTCCTAATTTTTATTACATTTCTTTTACTGTTTTTTACTGTTGTTATTTTGTAAGCTGCCCAGAGTCAGTTGGGGTTGGGTGGCATCAAAATCTAATAAATAAACATTAATACTGATCAGATATTTTCTTAACTAGCATCAAACTATGCACATTTACGCAGAAATGACTGATAGTGAATTTAATAAAACTTGCATCAAAATAAGAGTCTGTTGGATTGCCTAATATCCCATATTTGCACCAAAAATTAGAATTCAGATGGTCCTCGATTAATGGCCATTCGTTTAGAGACCATTTAAATTATATATATATATATACATTATAACAGCACTGAATGAGGAGACTTGCAACTGATCCTTGAAGTTGCAGCCATCGTAGCGTGCCTTCATGTGGTCATGATTCAGGCACTTGCCACAGGCTTACAATTAGGATGGATGCATTGTCCTGAGACCATGTGATTGCCATTTATGACCTTCACTGCTGGTTTCTGACAAGCCCATTCAGTGCGGAAGGCTGCAGGAGGTTGCTGTCAGGGATGGTGCTAACCAGTGCTTTTTTTGTAAAAAAATAAAAAGGTGCCGGAACTCACACACGTTATACAACCGGCCTTGCCTACCCTACAAGGTTCCATCCAAAAAAGGTGCCGGAACTCCGTTCTAAGCGTTCTATGACAAAAAAAGCCCTGGTGCTAACAGCGGTGGTGCGATGGACTGTAGTGAGACAGCAGTTTCCAAGGAAGGCAGTAGCATACCCCAAGTGGGGGGAAGTAAAAGAGGGGGACAATACAGTGTAGAAATTAATTCATTTCATTTCGAAGGGCTACAAAATATTTTACATTACACAACATAAATTCTACCTTGTTATCTGCCACATCTAGCTCTGTACGAAATAAAGAAAAATCATGGATAAGTATTTAGGATAAATATTAAGTGTATGTTATTTTAGACATAATTTCCGTTACAACCTTAAGAAGGTATAAAATAGATAATGGGCTATGAGCAGATCTGATTTCCTTCAACTCACATGACGATGCCATCAGAACTAACCATCTTACCTCAATTGCTTGCTGTTTGTATTCCAAGAAAGAAATGCATTTGTCAGGCAACCTCAAATGCTGCATTAAACACTCTTGTAAAGTGCTGATCCTGTGTGGAAGGTAGCCACCTGTTTCCATTGAGAACTGTAATACATCAGCAACCTACGGGAGAAAAAGTGAAAGGATCAATTAGCCGGAGCGTCCGCCGACTGTTCCTCTTCCTCAGACATCAGAAACTCCTGGTCAGAGCCCTGATCAGGTAGCGACAACCCCTCAGAATACAAGGATTCAGCAGGTGAAGAGGGGCCGGACTGAGGTTCATCTGTCTGATGTGGGGTAGGAGGGGGGACTATGACTGGAGGTTTAGGAACTGCCCTAGCGTTCAGAGCGCGGTCCACTGCCTGAGCAATCAACATGGACAATCGCTCCTCTGAAGGGAAAGGAAGCTGTTCGGTCTGGCGAAGTCCAGCCGCTGTAGGGGTGAAAGTGGCCTCAGGTATACACTGATGCGACTGATTAAGTGGAATCTGGGACTCCTGCACCCGCCCCCCAGTCTGAGAATTGTCCAGTCGGGCAATTTTTTGTGCCCTAGAGAACTCCCTTTCCAGAGCTTGGTGTCTCCTGGTGGCGTGCTTATCTGTCCCCTTGGATGACTGTTTTGCAGATTTTTTCTTTGTATTTTGCGCAGCCCTTTCGGATCCGTCCGGATGAGGTGGCATAGAGCTCATGCCAGCCAATGAAGGGGACACGACCTCCTTCTCAAGGGGCTCCATGCTTTCCATCCTCTGATAGCGCTGGGGCTCGATTGGGGGCCTCTCCGGTATCTAGAGGGAATTACCACCTTGGGTGCGGCCAGACGCAATTCCAGAGGACGCCTGGGACCGAGGTACCGATGCAACCACAGGAAACGACAGACACGCTATGGGAGTGCCTGGTGCCCGTGGTAAGCGTGTCACAGACAAGGACCGGTGCTCTGAGGGTCACCGTAAGTCCACAGATTTACTGGAAGTAATTAAATCAGTTAAATCTGACGCACGCCAATTAACTTCCAGGAAGTATTGAAATTGTAGTACACAGCCCAAAAAAAGGGGCTGCAGGTTACTCAATAAAGGCTGCCAAATATTCAGACCCAGGAGGCACCAAGCTAAGAAAAAAAGGCCTTATGAAGTGAATGAGTCAGCCTAGAGGAGCTGCTGATAGGACTCTATAGAAACAGGTGATGAACCCTGTGGCAAAATGGCCGCCACTCATAAAATGGTGGCCAGTCCTGAGGGAATCAGAAAATCCACCTAAAATGTTAGTTTAATTTTTTTCTTTTCCTACTGGAGACTTACGTCTCCAAAAATCACTATCTCCCAGAGGAAGGTGGCAATAAAAGTAACAATGCCTCTATGAAGTTAGGCTTCTAGGACACAGACCCTGTATTGCCACCTGCGGTCAAAATGGCGGCCGCGCCAGAACGAACTGTCAAATTTTTACAGTTGGAAGCAAACGAGGCCTCTATGCGAGCGCGGCGGTTGTTAGCCGCCCCGCGATCAGCCGCTAATTACTTGACCGGCTACCTACTCAGAAACGGCCGAAATAAGTCAAAAATAGCATTCGGCCTGCTTCGGCAACCGAAGAAGCGTTAGAGAGGGAAAGTATTCTTCGTTCTGAAAGGAACAGAAAAAAACGGCTTCCCTCGGAGCGCCGCAGCCGCAATCTTTAAAGTAGCGGTTTTCAACGCGGGAGACTTCCTTCGTGCAAATTGGCCTCCCTGGGGATGCAGCCGCAATCCCCGTCACAAGAGGCAAATCACTGAGGAAATAGGTCAGCCGAACTGCTTTCCTCGGAAGTCTCCCGTTACGAAATTGGCCTCCCCGGGGATGCAGCCGCAATCCCCGTCACAAGAGGCCAATCGCTAAGGCAGGAGATCAGCCGAATGGCTTTTCTCGCTTTGCCGACAAACCGCGAAAGGAAGGAAAACAGAGAAAGCTGACACTTGCTAAAATCCCCGTTACTCCCTGCTAAGCTATAAGGTCCTGAAATTTAGAGTCCAAAATGCCAAATTCAGTAGTTCTACCCCGTGAGCTCCTGGAGGGAGGGGAGAAAGAAGGGACCCCCTTCTATCTCCCAAGAAATACCCCCCCACTGCAGAGCTGACAGAGGAACTGAAATCTGGGAGGAAACATTTTGTAAAATATTTCTAGTTATAGTATGGAAATGGAGGAACCACTAATAGTCCAGACTGTGCCTAAGAGCCAGAGTTGTACGTCCTGTTCTTGGGCAAGATCAAGTCAAGACTGGGCATATGTCCAAGGACAGGGCGTGACAACTTTGGCTGACTTGATCTGATTGGGCAGGAATACAGTCTCAACCCATGGGTGGATCCTCCATCTCCAGTGCTGGAGAACTGTAATACATCAGCAACCTACGGGAGAAAAAGTGAAAGGATCAATTAGTCACTTCTGACTAATTGAATATAGAGAATTAGTCTTCTGTCATTATCGTTTTACTATTAATCCAACAAATAGCTTTTTGTAGATTTAAGAATATTTTTCAGCAAATCAATGATATGTTACTACGGTAGGAAATAGAAAGGCAATAAAAGGCTGTTAGCTATAAATATCTTGACTGAGAAACTTAAGTTGTATGGAATGTTTTATGCATATATATTAAGGACAGAAACCTTTCAGCTACGGTATTACTTTATGGAGTAGGATATTAGGCTACTTTCTCTCAAATCTGGTCACATACAAGAGTATTTGACAAGCTACCTGTGTATCAAAGACATTGGAGAGCACAATTCCATACTGGTGAGAAAGACAATCAGAGAGCCAACGGCAATCATGGATAACCTAAGAAATATGAGGAAGAAGCAATATCATTTTGATCAAGTAATATAATAAAAGTAACATATTTTCTGGCTTTTTAAAAAACACAATTTCATGTTTCATCTCCATATGTTATTGGATATCTGTTCTACGCAGAGACATACTTTCAAAATATTCCGGTCCTCCAGTATCATTTGTAGTCCATTCTTGAACACTTGAGCTCCCAAAACAAAAATGTCAAATAAGAAAACCTGACGTTCTGTTGCAACCTATTTGTACAGAAAAAAACATAATTATAGATCTGCTGTAATTCAAATATTAATACTAGAATATGATTAGAGTATCAATATTTTTGATTTCTCTTAATTCTAAAGATGTCACAGTGGCGTTAAGCTCAGTGGCAATATTTTTCTTTATTTAAATTGATGCAATCTGATATGGAAAGATTCTAACTAACACCTTCCATAATATCTTGATGTTTTAAAGCAAATTACAACCAAAACACCTAGTACTCTCTATAGAAATTGAGAATTCTGTGAAGGGCACCAGATATAAAAATAGCAAAATATAAAATATAAAACAGCAAAAATGAGGAATTATACCAAAAGGCAAAGATAAGATTATTTTTTATTCTTAGACCATTTTTGCTAATAAGAAAACTATCATTTTTTTTACATTTACATTCCAAACTGCAAGGCATACTATGTATTCTTACTTGTAACCAAGAAAGTTTTCCATGCCGACACAAATTGACACCCTCTGCTGCTATACTACATACCCTTTGATTTTTGATGTGCATCATCTAATAAGGAAACAAAAAAATATAGCAGAATATGGAAGACATGCAAAACAACATGAAACTAGTTTTTGTATACAAAGTTAAACTGCTTCATTTAAGATGTAGGAAGATAAAAGGTTGATCAGCACAGTGTGTGACAATGTCATCTACGTACCAAATCCATACTTGGGGTTCTATGTGTAGGAGTGCTATAGATTCTAGACAGATCAGTACATAGATGACATTCATGAAAACCAACTAGCAGTCAGAAGACATGATGAAAACTCCTTCCTTTCACAACATATGGACAGACTTAATCATAATTTCAACTGGGAAACTGTGAGCATCCTAGACCAAACCTAATCTAAAAATGCTAGAGAATTCCTGGAAGCCTGGCACTCAGACAAATCACTCATCAACAGTCACATAGAGGTAAACAACATCTACATCCCATTCAAAAGAGACAGCCAAAAAGGAAACAAGAAAACCAAAACACCTCCTCACCAGCAATCAACACCCAGATGAGAGATTAACACCAAGATAAACACTAGAACAGCAATCAAGAAGTAAACAATATCCCAATCAAGGAACCACCAATTCAGACAAATAAGCTAACAGTAAACAACAGCCTAATCAGGCAACCACCAAGACTGCTCCCACCAACATTGATAAGGCAAGCCATTACTATATAAAAGGAGAGCAAATTCCACTCTCTTCTAGCACTGATAATGTTACCTAGTTTGGTAATAAAATGTCTGCAAGAAAACAACCAAGCTCAGAGAGCACCCAGGATCTCACATGCTATAAGCAATTAAAAAGTGTGCCATAAATAGTGTCATCTTACATCAGCTGGGCTTATTCTTAATTTAGCTCCATAAATATGGCAACCTTTTGAAGGTGGGGGGCATTGGGAAGAAAACTTTGATCCGCTGAAGGATTCTTCTGCTGGAAATGGAGAAGTTGCAATACAGGGGAAATCAACAGAGATTTTGCCACTGTTCAGGAAGATTCCATGATTCTTTGAAATAGTTGTTCAGTGTGACTGGACCACACACTGAAAGCCTCACTCATAAAGCCTCACTCATTCACATAGCAGAAGAGTAATGGCCAGAAGTAGAGCATCAGCTTGCTAATTTCACCATTTCCTATGGATGCTCCCTAAGGTAGTTCTCAACGCAAACATAGCAGACCAAAGGACAGCAGCATTCCAAGCTCCAGATCAAGACATCACTAGTATCTTAAATGGGAACTCAGAGTGCAGCCATTCTTCAATTCGCCAACCCTGAATGTACAGCTACACTTTTCACTTTAAAGCCATAAACAAGGGGTGTGTGTGACTATGCTTTAGCTGTGAGGACACTCTGAGGCTAGGAATTCAGCTGCTCCTTAGCCTGCCCTGTCCTGCCCAGTCCAGAAACAGACTTGTTTCTTCTCAGCCAATGATCTATAGTGCCTGATTAAACTGACAAGCTGCAACCTATTTCTGGCAGTCTCTTCCCTGCTAGGTAGGCACGGAGTGAGGAGTTTCCTATTCTCTGTGCTGTTAACAAGATGGCAGCTTCTTTTTCCTCCCTCCTTGTCTCCATCAGATCTTAAAATTTTAGATCTCTGAAGGCGCACTTCAGTTTACTCTTGGTCTGCAACAAGGTAAGTCTATCAAAGCATTTTATGAGAAAGAAATCAACATTTCTACCCCAATACAATTTTCTGAGTAAGTGGATTGTTTGAATTTTGGACCCCGATTAGGTGGTCTGGAGGGGAAGGAAGACTGGAATAATTTGGTTACCATATTTAGGCTCAACTATGATTCAAAACCACAAACAACCACGCTTCTCCATTAATTATAAGCAGAAAACCCTAAATTGGAATTGCTCTTTTTCCTGTGATTTTTTTAATGTATGAAATTTACATTTTAAAACATAATGCTATTTTCTCCATTTTTTACTTAAGATTTTTGTATCAACATATAAAAGGGCTTCACTAATTGCAGCCCTTGAACAAATCCTCTTGAGATATTCAGGATGATTTGAGTTTAAGACCCCTGGGATATAGCAAAATAATAAAACACCCTTGAGAAGAAGCAACAACGTCTACTTACAGCAGAACCAAATGTCTTCTGGAATTGATTGATAACAATATATTCTATGTTTTCCCCGTTATCTTCATCTGTAATAAAATTAAAACAACCTCTGAAAGTGTTATCTTTATCTGTAATCACTATATAATGTATAAAATATAAATGCTTCTTCTTCCTCTACACAAATAGATAAACTAAGATTAATAAATCAAACCAATCAAGATAAAGCTGGTTTTTCAAAGCATCCTCACATATGATGCCTCTAAGATCAAGTTATTCAATTGGATTTCTGGTAAGCGGTATTTTGCTAGCCACTTAACAAGATAAAGAATCCAAAGAATCCCTCAAATTGAACTTCACTCCTAACATTGGTTTGCTTTATCCCACAGCTGAGTATTGTGCCAGCATGTGGCTTAACAGTGCCCACACCCAAATGGTTGATGTCCAACTCCACCAGACAAGATGTATCATCTCTGGCATGTTGCATTCCATTCCTGTGCACTGGTTACCAGCACTTAGCAGTATCATAGTACACCCCCACATTAGCTCCTGTCCGGCTATGGTCAAGGATGCTGAATGACAAGGCCCTCCCTATTCACCAGGAAAATGAACAGCAGATCATAAGATTGAAGTCTCATTGGCCAGAATGGAAAACTGATGTTCATTTAATAGCTACCCAGTTTAACCCCCAGAATCCTGGACAGAGGAATGGTCCAAGGTATCTTCTTGTGGCATGGCCATTAATGAACCCTCTACCAAGCCACCTGGTTTTAACCTGCTTCGCTCTGTCTGGATGAAATTTAACAGAATTAGGTGTGATGCTGGAAGAAGTGCTTCTGCCCTGTATAGGGAGGGATGGCAAGATTCCCCTTGTTGCGATTATGGTGCTACATTGTGTGCACAATTATTAGGCAAGTTGTATTTTGGAGAATTAATTTTCTTATTGAACAACTATAGTGCCCTCGGTCAATCCAAAATGTTAATAAACCTCAAACCTGAATATTTAAGAAAGTAAAAGTGAGGCTTTAGCTTTCATAGGAGAATATCTATGTGTGCACAATTACTGGGCAACTATTAGTGTGCAGAATAATTATACAACTAAATGAAAAACGGAAATTTACCCATCTAACTCGTTTATTTGCATCTGCTAAAGAGAGAATAAACAAAAAACTCAAAATGTATAAACATTTCTGACATTTCAAAACAAAAAATCAGTGACCAATATAGCCACCCTTCTTTTGAATAACAGTCATAAGCCTTCCATTCATGGAGCCTGTCAGTTTCTTGATCTGTTGAAGATCAACATTTTGTGCAGCAACCCCAGCCTCGCAGACACTGTTGAGAGAGGTGTACTGTTTTCCTTCACCATAAATCTCGTTTAAGAAGGGCCCACAAGTTCTCAACAGAGAACTTATTACTTCCATGTAATTAAAATTTTAAGCATCTTCACACCAAATTGTTGCCACTGCAGCATCATTGTGGTCATCTGCGGTCACGTGATTGTGATTTTTGATGTCCCCTGCCAGCTTTTCCAGAAACAAAATCAATGGGGAAGCCGGTAGGAAGTCAGAAGTTGCCGCCTATGATGGTATATTGTGGGCAGGATTCCCAGGAGGGAAGGGATGCCTTCCAAAGTAAGAATAGAATAGAATAGAATAGAATAGAATAGAATAGAATAGAATAGAATAGAATAGAATAGAATCTGGAAAACCTTGAAGTTCTTCTAGTCCAGCCCCCTGCTCAAGCAGGAGAACCTATACCATCTCAGACAAGTGACTGTCTAGTCTCTTCTTAAAAATCTCCAGTGATGGAGCGCCCACGATTTTTGGAGGCAAGCTGTTCCACTGGTTAATTGTCCTCACTGTCAGGAAGTTTCTCCTTAATTCCAGGTTGCTTCTCTCATTGATCAGTTTCCAACCATTGTTTCTCGTCCTTCCCTCTGGTGTTTTGGTGAATAATGTGACCCCTTCTTCGTGGCAGCCCCTCAAATACTGGAATACTGCTATCATGTCTCCTCTATTTCTTAATAATAATAATAATAATAAAGTTGGAAGGGACCTTGGAGGTCATCAAGTCCAACCCCCTGCCCAGGCAGGAACCCTACACCATTTCAGACAAACGGCTGTCCAGTCTCTTCTTAAAAACCTCCAGTGTTGGAGCATTCACCACTTCTGGAGGCAGGTTGTTCCATTGGTTAATTGTTCTAACTGTCAGGAAGTTTCTCCTTAGTTCTAAGTTGCTTCTCTCCTTGATCAGTTTCCACCCGTTGCTTCTCGTCCTGCCCAAGTCCTGCAACCGATCTTCATATGTTTTAGTCTCCAGGCCTTTGATCATCTTAGTTGCTCTTTTCTGAATTTTTTCCAAACTCTCAACATCTTTTTTGTGATAGGGTGACCAAAATTGGCTACAGTATTCCAGGTGTGGTTTTACTAAGATTTTATAAAGCGCTACTAATACATTACGTGATCTTGATTCTATGCCTCTGTTTATACAGCCTAAGATTGTATTAACATTTTTGGTTGCTGCTGCACACTGCTGGCTCATAGTCAAGTGATCAAATAAAAAGCAGTTCAGTTCAGATAGTTTGTGTGTGAGACAAAGTGGATGCAGATAGCCCCTCCATAACACTTATCAGAGTTTATGCTTGATATAGACAATAGAGTGCTTCAGTTTTGCAAGTTTCTGTCTACAGATGTGGAACAGTTAATTAAGGAAGAATCAACTTTTTCTTTGTTTTGGGGGCCTGACACTTCTATTCCCATTGCTTTTGTGCCCGCCCATGATCATTTTACTTCTTTATGTAGGTAAGAAATATTTCTGAGATCATGGGTTGTCTAGTTTACAAATAAAAGTCTTAGAGGAAGTCACCAGAAGAACATAGATACTCAAGAACAGTACAGCCATTTTATGAGCTCCGCACGACCCTGATCTCCAGGTCAGAAGACAAAACAGGTTTTCTGGCTCTCCTGGAATAATCATCAACCTGACTTTGGGAGGAATGTTGTTCCATAGAGAGGGTGCAGCAGCAGAAAAGGCCCACCTCCTGGGTCTCAGCAGATGACATTCTCAAGTGGATAGAACTTTCAACAAGCATCTTCTGCTGTACCTGATGGGATGGAGAGATGTCACCAGGGAGAAGTGGTTCCTCAAATAACCTGGCCTCATGCCATATTAGCTCAAGAACCCAAGATAAACAAAGAACCACTTCTGTTTCTGCCATCAAAATCCACCCTATGATAAAGCTTACAATAAAGCATTCCTTAGCACATGTATTAGTTCTGTATTATATTTGGACATTCCAGGGGGATCAAGTCACCCAGTGTATTCTCCCCAACAAAATGTATTAATGGTCACCAGTAGTAAGACAGTAGGATCACATGCTGTTTTTCTGTTACAGCCCCTATGTTACAGACAGCTTCCATCCTGAGGTCAGTTCATGGCAGTCCCAATAGCCTTGCAGAAGCTATAAAAATAAGAGTTTTTCAGTGAGTATTTGGGGAATGGTGCTTATGTATTATAAGTATTGATGAAATGTATTATTAAGGCATTGCTGTTTTAGTTTAAATATTGTTTTATTATTGTAAACTCCTGGGAATCTGAGCACATTATTGCAGCATGTGTATCAATATAAATATATTTGTATGTGTAGATAAAATCTCAAAAAAGTGGAAAACCCAATATGCCTTTTAGCAATATGTGAATGCAATGTATGTTTGTTGAATAAAAAGAAAGGTGAATTTCAAAAGATTATAAAAGATCATATTTATAATATGACTAGGAAAAAAGAAGCCAAGTATGTGCTAATTGGATGCTGTACTTTTCCGTTTTCTGGTTTTTCTAGTTTCCTAGTTAACCTTTTCTAGGCATAATAGGTCTAAAGTAAAGGTAAAGGCTTCCTTGAGTCAAAATCAATATTTGATGGCTATATACGCTTATCAATATGGCGTTTTCGGGAACAATTAAAACATGGTTTACTCTTCTCTTTTTCTGGGATGTTTTTTCAGCTTCCCCATTTGCCCTGTGGCCTTGGGATTTCCTTATGCTCTTTCATCAAATGAGGCGAGATCTAAGCCAATTTAGCTGTGAGCCAGATTCAAAGAGCCTGAGATTTCATAGGCCTATTACCATAATAGTCACAAACACCTATTATTCCTTCAACTTAAAATCAACCAGGTCTCATTCTGATCCATAGCAGCACTTAGGGAGATAAAAAGAGATATAAGATTTTAACGTGGGGACCGACTGGAAAAGAGAAAGAGGGGGCCAAATGGCTTTAGGCTTATAGATATCCATTACTAGTTTTCTTTTCTAATATCAACTTTTCTAATATTTGTAATACAATTAGCTAATCAAAGAGTTGCGTCCTTGAATCTCCACCCACTAGCTCTTAAGTAATGATTGGAATAAAACCTGGCAGTAACTTTTTTTTCAAAAACAGCCAGGGTTGGTTAGATGTTGCTACCTGTTGCTACCTTTTAAGTCCATCTAAAACTTAATATAACTGTTTCTTCCTGACAACGTGAGGAAAACCTAATTTTTGTTAAATTTCAGTAATATGTGATCTTGGGTATTTCTAGGGGTTTCTAAACACTAAGACGATAGTAGAAGTGGTATCAGCAATCCATGATAAGCCATATTGACAAAACACAGGTAATATCCTCAGACAAATGCAGCCATTACACATTTGTACCCCTTTATTTGCATGCCATTGTCAACACACACATTTTGTCATTTGCCATCCTATTCCATGGATGCTCATGCATTGTGCGGGACATAAATGATTTCCAAATTAAGTACTGAAGTGAACATTACCCAAACAGAGTTGCTGGCTCACTGGGAAAACAACATTAGCTCTATGGGTGCTTTGATCCAGCAGTGATTCTTGGTCGATTTCAGACAACTTAGTAAGTGGAAATTCCCTGCAGAAAATATTATTTGAATTTTGTTTAATAAAAGTAACATTGTTGTCAGGATGCTGGTTACATTTTAGCCAACCCAAATTAAACTGTTTTACATACAGTAATGAGTTGTTGTTGTTGTTGTTTTATCTAATATGCTTTTGGCTGCAGATGTTAACTGTTCTTTAAACCTTGCTTTATCAGCTAATTACTCAAATGTCATTCAAAAGGGAAAAAGTCCTTTAGCTTTAGCAGAATGCATTACCAAGGGCAAGGTCAATCATAAAGATTATGATACAAAAAGAAATTTCATGCATCAAATAAGGCAGCATCTGAGGCATGGCTAGTGGGTAATGGAGCAGAAAAAACTAGATCTAAGGAATTCAGCCTTAGTACATGTATAGACTCTGTCCCAAAGACAAAGGAATGTAAAATAAATGGCCACCTATAATTTTCTCATTTATATTTTAAATTTTTCTGAAAAAGATAAATTCGGCAACTAAATGGCAGTTTCAATGCAACCATCAGTTGAAAGTTGCCTACAATACAAAGTCTTCACAGTCATAGCCACTCCTTCTCTGGAACAGCACTGCTCCCAAGGTTAGATTGGCTCCCATCCTTTTGGGGTTTTTTTTTAGAAAGCTATTTATTCTGCTATTCCATGGAGTCCTAGAAGTAGAGTCGTGATAAGGAGGACCCTTGTACTATCAATCAATTTTAATCAGAAAAATTATATTAAAAATAGCTAAACAGGAAAAGTAATACTGTAATATATAGATTTGTATCAACTGTTGCCTCATTTTCATCACAGTAAGACAAAATTTAGCTATGGTAGGGGTCATAAATAATTTCATATCTATCAGAATTGGTTTACAGAATAATTATCCATCTTTCCTGGGTTGACCTTCTTGGACACTGAGGGTTAAGATGTAATTATCCCAAATATTCCTATAGAAGTTACAATATAAGAGTCACAGTGAACTGCTTTTATTTCCATAGATCTGCATGGATGGGTAAGCTTCATTATAGGTAGTCCTTGACTTACAATCACAGCTGGGAATCAGAATTTCCATTGCTAAGCAAGACAGCTGTTAAGTGAGCGGCACCTGATTTTACAGCCTTCTGCAGTTAAGTGAATCATACAGTCATTAAACAAATCTGGCTTCCCAGACTTTGTGCGTTGGAAGCTGGCCGGGAAGGTCATAAATAGCAATCATTTGACCCTGGGTTGTTGCAAAGGTTGTAAATACGTGCCAAGTGCCTGAATTTTGATCACGTGATCTTGGAGATGCTGTGGTAGTCATAAAATGATGAATAGTCATGAGTCACTTTTTTCAGTGCCACTGTAACTTCAAATGATTGTTAAATGAACAGTGATAAGTCAAGGACTACCTATAGTGAGGTTTTATAATACTATCTTACAAAGTGAAGACCTTCCTGTTATGGTTTGATTTCTGTTGTTCCTCCTTGGTGGGAGCTAACAGTAAACAACAGCCTAATCAACGAACCACTAAAAACACTCGCACAAACACTGACAGGGTAAGCCACTAGGACAGAGATCTTCAAACTTGGCCCTTTTATGACTTGTGGACTTCAACTCCCAGAATTCCTCAGCCAGGCATACTGGCTGAGGAATTCTGGGAGTTGAAGTCCACAAGTCATAAAAGAGCAAGTTTGAAGACCCCTGCTCTAGTATATAAGAAGAGAGCAATAGTACTCCCTTCTAGCACTGATGATGTTACCTAGCTGGGTAATGAAATGTCTGCAAGAAAACAACAATGCTGAGAGAGCACTAAGGGCTCCACAGTAAGATGGGTGTCTTAATCCAACATTTGTGGATTCAATCATGATTAAGCAAATCAAGGCTTAGCACAATGCCTGAATCTAGGCTGAATCTCTACTTCAGCTAATTTCATTATTTCTGAGAAGGATAGGGAGGAGATGAAATCTAAATTAGGATGCTAGGAAATTGACTTTTTAGCCAGTAATTTACATAATTTTGGGGTGAAGATCTTGAAAATACAATATTTAGAACAGCCTCCTTATTGATATTAAAATAAAGCAGGTTCATGGCAAATACATATTTATAGTATGATAGTATATAATAGCATTTCTTTGGCTGGAAATAATGGCATAGCACTTCAACACTAAACTGGAGAAGGCTATATTATATATAATAGATACACATATTATATATACAGGAACATTATTAAATAATAGTGGGCAGCCTTAATTTCGTTATGTTCCTGGTCCACTGTTTGATAGATCACTAGTATACAAATAAGATTTTCCACTGACAATACTTTTCCTAATAGCCAGGATCTCAGTAATTTCTCATAACAAAAATCTCATGTGTACCTGGATCCAGTAGGAGTGAAGTTTCTTTCTGGAGCGGATTGTTCTAAGTCATCAAGCAATTCCACTGAAATATAAAACAGCTCCTATTAAGGATTTAAAGTTCAACCAGGAACTATACTTAATAACCAGATGAGATAAATTAAAAGTGAATACAGACATAGTAACAAGTAAACCTGCCAGGATTAAAGCATGATAGAAAATAGGTTTAATCAAGTAGCAACAAGCCATGAAATATGCATGTTACATACCACAAACAGGATTACATAATTTTACATGTAAGCTTTATGCAAATAGAATATAGGCTGCAATGGTTTATTCTACATTAACTCTCTTAAAACCATTTTGGCTTTGTTGTCAAAGATTACACCATTCATATCTTTGCAATAGCAGCTTGTTGTTTAAGATCTTCCAAATATGGCAAATTCAGAAGAGCACCTTGGAACTTTTCAAGGTTTTGAGATAGATTAGAAATAGCAGACAGGGAAGAGAACAAACAAACATGTTTCAAAAAAAACTACGTGCAGGTAATTTACAATTTTATGCAGCTTATATATTCAACACAGTCCTAAATAATTTTTTCCCAATAAACTGGCTCTTATTTTATTAGCACAGATAGGATTAAAAATGTGAAGGAAAAGACTTCCAGTGATAACTCAACTTTGGACACTTCTCATCACTACTATTATGATCCATAATTAGAACATGGAACATAGAACATAGAATACTCAGACTGGAAGGGACCTTGGAGGTCTTCTAGTCCAACCCCCTGCTCAAGCAAGCAACCATTCCAGACAAATGGCTGTCCAGTCTCTTCTTGAAATTCTATCTGCTGACCTGAACAAGAAACAAAAGTCACTCTCCCACCCTCAGCTGCTGCAGGTCCAACAGCAAAGTTCTCTTCGCCCCTTATGCCATCTAAAAAGAAAAGGTACCCCCTTCCCCATCAGCTGAGCCCTGAGGCTTTGCATGTTTGATCTAGGCCCGTGGTGGCGAACCTATGGCACACGTGCCACAGGTGGCATGCAGAGCCCTCTCTGTGGGCACGCGTGCCGTCGTCCCAATCCTAGGCCTTCAGCTGGGTTTTATAAAATCTTTTCGCTTTAGGCCTCCACCGCCGTGTGCAACAAAAAAAGGGTTCAATCAATTTCACCTTCTTGCGGGGAAAAAAAAGATCTCGCAAAGTTGGAACTGATTGATTGAACTTTTTAGTCCCACCCAGTCTGCCATTACCACCGCAGCCACGCCCAGCCAATGGGCCACACCCAGCCAATGAGCCACGCCCATCCGGCACCCGATGATACCTAAGTGGGTTTTGGGTTGCAGTTTGGACACTTGGTTTCTAAAAGGTTCGCCATCACTGATCTAGGCTACAAAAGAGGGAAATCCAAAACCGGCATTTCCTTTTCAGGATCAGAAGCCAGAAGGTGAAAGGAATGATGAGACAAGAGTTCTATGTAATGTGAAAAATAGAAGATTACAGCAGTTTTATAAACTATACAGGTAGTCCTCGACTTACAACACTTCATTCTCTGTCAGCGAAGAGAACTTTGCAGCTCTGCCTGCAGAGCCACCAAAGTTGTAGCTGAATGGGCAGGTGATGGGGGAACCTGCCCCACTTGTTCCATGGCTGCTTTCGGCCGAGCCGCACTGCAACGGCATTGGGCGCAATACGCGAAGCGGCAAACAGCCATGCCACTAGCCGTTTGCCGCCTCTTGCCCAATGCTGCTGCCATGAGGCTGCGGAACAAGCCGGGCAGCGGTAAGAAACTGGTATACCAGTTCCTTACCTCCGCCCGGCTTGTTCTGCGACCTTATGGCAGCGGCATTGGGTGCGACGTGCGAGGCGGCAAATGGCCGCAGCCGGCAGCAAACAACCACGTCACGCTGAAACCGGCTGTTTGCCATCTCCTGCACAATGCCGCTGCCATGAGGCCATGGAACAAGCTGGGCAGAGGTAAGGAACTGGTATACCGGATCCCCCCTCCCCTACTCCACCTGCTGCTGGAGGGCTGGCCCTGTATCTGTAGTGGGCTGCGGAGCCTCAGAGTGCACTGTTCTAAGGAATAGAAGGCTGTGGCTGCTGACAGACACAGTTGGCCCCCATGCGCTCGCTGTGTGCGGGGGCCAATGGTGTCAGGCAGCACCCACCCCAGTCCCTGCTTGCCTTGCCCTGCGGCAATGGCACCCCTGCTCTGCCCCCTGCCTGGTCTCGTTTCACCCCACAGGACGAGCCTCCTGCCCACCGTCCCACCTGCCAGAAACCCCCTGGATCTCCCCCAATCCTGCCCGGTGCCCACAGGTGTCCCTCCCCATGAGCAACATCGAAGTGGCCATGCCCACCCCGGCCACGCCCACCCAGTCTATGACCACTTCAGCCACACTCACCCAGTGGTCACGCCCACCCACTGGGCCACGCCCACCCATCACCCAACGATAAATAAGTGGGGTTTGGGTTGCAGTTTGGGCACTCAGTCTCTAAAAGGTTCGCCATCACTGGTATAGGGTTTCCTGCCTGAGCAGGGGGTTGGACTAGATGACCTCCAAGGTCCCTTTTATAGTAATTCATTTCACCGTTGTGTTTTAAGGCTTAAGATAAAATCAAAGATCTAATGAAAATGTATTCAAAAATATATTTAAAACTTTTTTCATACTTCAGTCAGTATCAAAGAATATATGGTAAATATTGTCAGCTGGAAATTTGAGATTGGAATAGTTCCTAATTAATATGAGGTCCTGAATATATCAGTTTACATTATATCAAATATAAAGTATTTTCTAAATGTAATTGTAAAATATTCTCACCATTAACAATTTCATGGCCAAAGAACCTCTTTATTCCAGGTACATTTCTGCCATTTTCCAAATTCTTAACTGAAAGAAACAAACAGAATCAGCATCATTCTCTTTAGATAAACAAAACTTTTTGTTTAATACTAAAATTTAGAACCAATAAGAATAAAATATCTTTGAATACTGTAATATAGGCTAGTATTAGGATGTGAGAATGCTCAGAAATAATTATTTCCTCTCTAAATAGTTATATATATAGTTATAACTTACTCAGAAATAGTAAGTTCTTTTCCATGAACTTATATTCTTTAATTAATTAAATATACACTAATATTACTTTTGATAAAGCTGTCTTCTTTGCTAGCAATCTTTTACGCACCAATCCTAAAACATAATACATATTATAACAAATACATTTAAATAAAATACATTGGTAAAGCTTTGGAATCAATATGCAGAAAAGGATAACTAAAATTATTAGGAGGCTAGAATAGTTAAAATGTACTTTTCAGCTTATAGCAAAGGCTTGTATGGTGAGACAGAGGTGAAAAAAATGAGGTCAAAAAGAAGTTTTTCTCTCTTTCAATGAAACGGAGGGTCATCGATTGAAATTAAATATGTAGAGATAGTAGATCAATAAATAGTAGCACATCTTCACTCAAAGCATAGTTAATCCAAATAATTCACTGCATCAGATATGGTAGTAATCACCAATTTAGATTGCTTTTAAAGGAGGGTTAGATAATTCAAGGAGAATAGTGGCCTCTCAATTTATATTATCTTCTAAATCATAGATACCATACTTTAAATACCAGCAGCAATGATAAAATGCTGTTACCATCTGTTCTGCTTGAAATATTCCCAAAGTAATCCAACTGGTTATTTTATAATATTAGAAGGTACTTTGGCTTGATTCTGCAGGGTGAGTATATATGTATGGGGGTCAGCTTTTATCGTGTTAAAAGTATAGTAGTGAATAATTTGAACTCTACTCTTAATATTTCTAAGTTCTAAACAGCACTTGCAGATTTCCCTGGAATTTAAAAAATTGATAGATTAATCCAGAAATACTTGTAGAAAACTGCAGAAGTATTGTGTAACTCTTGACTTGAATGTTGGTCCTTTGTCTTTACCCTTGTTGTCATAGAATCAGTGGAATTTAATGTATTTTCAGCTTCAGAAGAGCAGGCTGCAATCTGCACACCAAATAAATCAGAAAGTATTTCCGTTTATATGCATCAAATTAAGTTAACTGAAGGACCGCCTTCTTCCATATATATAGTCTTCATTTGTGAGGATTTATGTTGGAAGGAATCTTCTTTGCCTCTGAGATTTGACAGATGACTACTAATAAAATAACCTCTTTTCTACTGGACCTAAAACTATAAAACTTCTTGCTAAATTTTATTTTCAAGCACATTTAATTATTATATTTGTGGTGAGAACCACCCATTCTGTTGTTTCAAACTTACTATTTATATACTACTCTTCCTTAGAAGCCTCAAAATAATTAAGCATAGAATAACTGTAAATAAAGCCAAAAAGCCTAAAAGGCAGCAAAGATATAAAAATTAAATCAAGGTTAATATTTAAAAAGCATTTAAAATGTATTTAACATACTTATAGAATTTTCTTTTAATCTGGAGAATTGATACTTATTAGATTTTGTATATTTATTTTATGCATGTTTTAAAATACATAGTTATTATTATTAAGTACCTTGAATGTTCAGCTATAAAGAAGGATATACATTAAAAACACAGTGTTATCTAAAAANCAAGGTTAATATTTAAAAAGCATTTAAAATGTATTTAACATACTTATAGAATTTTCTTTTAATCTGGAGAATTGATACTTATTAGATTTTGTATATTTATTTTATGCATGTTTTAAAATACATAGTTATTATTATTAAGTACCTTGAATGTTCAGCTATAAAGAAGGATATACATTAAAAACACAGTGTTATCTAAAAAAGTACTTCTCTTTTCCAACAAACTAAATCATTTCATTAAAAAGAAGCTTAAACTGGTACACAAAGTGCAGCAGGAGGAGTTTTTTATACACATATTGTATGTAATGACTCATTCATTCAAGGTGTGAAGTTAGTACTTTGGAATTTATCAATAGATGGCAGGTATTGAGTAATTTAGAGGCACAGATATTAGCCTCTTTCTGCTATTTAAAATCTGAATGTATTTTGTTTCTTAGGTTCTGTTGAAATTCAGTCTTACACATACATAATAATGACTTATTTATTTACTCTTGCACAAGACACATATTGGCTAAGGATGTGTGAAATATAGAAATCTCAAGCCATTTGCCCTCCAATGTGCCACTAATACATTTATCATAGTGAGTTATAAAGTATAACTTGAAAATAACTGCTATGAACATTTTAAATCATGAAATGAATTCTATTATGAAGTATTAATGAGCATTAAGTAAAGAGTTATTTGAATCTAATCAGACTGATAACACTCAGATGCTGGGAGAAAATTTCAGTGGACCCAGAGGGGTAACTATTGCTAATGTGTTAGCATCAAGGAAAATGAATTATAAAGATGGAATGTTGCTAATATAAAGAAATATTTTTTATTGATGAGTTAGTGACAATACTAGGAAACTGTAATAACATGAACTATTTACCACTCAGAAGTTTCAAGAAGTTCATGAAACATAGTTTGGTTGATTCTGGATGGGTTCTGCTACAAAGATTAACAAGGCTAAGTTTTCAGCTTGGTGGTGTTTAAGATTGTCCAATATTTTAAGTTCAAGTCTCCAGTTAGGAAGAATAAGCATGATTATAATTTATCCAATTCTTTTGCTGATCATCCTAGATCAAATGTTCATAAAAATTACAGCAAACAAATTATTAGGATTACAGCAAACAAATTATTAGGAACAGAGGAATGTTACTTTGCTAGTATATCTGCCAAGAACTCACACAACAAGTATAATAGCTTCGAGTACTGGAGTTATTCATTTTCTTCTCAAATTTCTAGAAGTTGAAATTCAATCCAGCATTTTTTACTTTCACAGCCAATCCAGATTTGAACTTTTAAACAAGCTCTAGAGAAAAAAGTTTGGAGCTTGACCTCTAAGGAAATAACATTAAATCAAATGTTCTGAAAAGTGAGACGTTAATGTTGGGAATTTGGTGATGGGGTGGGGAGATGCAATTGCAAATATAATATTTAATCACATAATTCATCTTTTTGATAACCTGTGACCAAACTATGTTTTTATTCCACAAAACAATCTAGAATGAGACCTTATTGTATAGAAATTAGTCGTATTGATAGAGAAAATACATCAAATCCCACTACAATTTTCAGTACAAATGCACTGAGTTTAAAAAAAACCCCAGCAATACCTCTGTTTAGAAAGATACACTGACTGGAATCCACATGTTGCAATATTCCCTGGAATGTGCCACATTTCAATGTGATGTGTACAGTTTTCCCCAAAACACGATGAAGAAAGTGATGATCACAGCTAGGATCCATCCTGGCTTTTCTCTCCAAGGAATCGGGCCTTCAATCTAAATAAACAAATAAACAAATATTTATTTAAGAAAAGGCAATGTCTTCAGTTTTTTAAAAAATATGAGGTCGTGGACATGTGCTTTGTCTGAACTATAAGTAAACCAGTATAGATGTATTCCTCAATTTACAACTGCAACTGGGACTGGAAATCTAATTATCTTGACTTACAACCATAACAACTTACAATTGGATTTCCAGTCTCAAATTCTTTTCCTTATCCCTGTTGAAAAGACTAGTTTAAATGTTAAGAAACAACATACAATATATTAGCAATCTATTTCTTTAAATCAAGTGTCGATAACTGTTTAATAATTCTTTTATGCCTGGCTGGTGCTGTTCTACTTCCAGGTCCAATTCAAGGTGTTGTTTATCACCTTTAAAGGTCTCCATGGCATAAGACAGGTTACCTGAGGGACTGACCCCAATTACGTCAACTTGTCCCACTTAGTGAGGTAGCGAGGATATGTTATGGATTCCATTGGTTAAAGAATTTCAATTGATAGAGCCTAGGAAGAGTCTTCTCTGCCGCTGTCCCTGCCTCACCTCTGGGGGCAAGATATTCTATAGCAGTGATGGCGAACCTTTTAGAGACCCAGTGCCCAAACTGCAACCCAAAACCCACTTATTTATCACCGGGTGCCGGGTGGGCGTGGCCCTGGTGGTCATAGCAGACTGGGTGGGCGGGGCCAGGGTGCTGTGCCCACCATCTCCGGGGCACAGCACGCGTGCCCACAGAGAGGGCTCTGAGTGCCGCCTCTGGCACGCGTGCCATAGGTTCGCCACCACTGTTCTATAGGCAGGGACAGCGGCAGAGACTTTCTGGAAGAACATGAAGACCTGGCTCTGCCAATTGGAAATGAAGAGTGGCATGCAACCCAGGGGTCGCTTGAGAGCACTCCCTCTGCCTCTTAACTCATCTGTTTTTATTCTGTTTTTCACTGTTTTGTTTTTAATTATGTCTTTTTGAAATGGTTTTATGGTTTGCATTTGTAAACTGCCTAGAGTCATTTGGATTATGAGATGAGCAGTGTCTAAATTTCATAAATAAATGTGCAATGTAGTAGAAATAACAGAGAGATGTAGCAAGACAGAGTGAGGCAGAGAGAGAGAGAGAGAGAGAGAGAGAGTCTGTAAAGACACAGTGGTTTATAAATTAATCTACTATCCGCACATGGATTACGTCCAGTCCACTGCACAATTTCATGTACTCACAAATATCCCTTTTATGTTGATATCTCAAGGAGGAAACCAGCCCTGACAGTGCCAAATAGCTTCTGGCAGTGTTGACTTATTGTTGGACAAAGTAGGCAGCAGAATCCTCCTCTTCCTTCTCAGTGAACATCTCCCTGTTCATTTCTCCACTGCTTTGCTTGTCTTCATTTTCCACTATTCTGTGCTGCATCTAGTTTTGCATTCTGTGAATCAGAAGCAAATTTAATAGACATTGTTACTCTAGTCTAGACTATTTATAGAATATACTGTAATATATTGTACTGTATACACAATGTATATATTGCAGTATACTGTAATATACTATAAGTAGTACACATGCACACACTACTCTATATTCCTTATAGACTACGCTGTTATTCAATTCTATAGTGCTTATTCAGGGAAACAAAATATGGCTGTTTCTCATATCTATATAAGCTAAAATGACGATCAGACATTCATCAACTCTGCAGCTGAAGAAATGCTGAAGAAAGAGAGTCATGCAGTGTCTCTCTCATTTGTTGATGAAGATACCAATTCTATTATTTACACTTTCCCTGTCCTCTTTGGTTCCAGAAAAGACCTTGTTTTCTTCCTCTGGTGTTTTCTCTTCAAGGTTTCCTATATGGCAATCAGATGCCTCACAGCTTTCTTTTCAAATGTAATACTAAATATTACAAACTGAGAATATGAATTTCTAATTTCCAAAAATTCAGTATTATTATAGATTGAAATACCACAGACATGGGATTTAAGAAGCAGCAGAGCAACACAACTTTCAAGACTCAGGCCACAGCACTTATGAAGATTCAAGTCTATAGTTGATAAAATAATATAACTGAGTATGTCAGTTTTATACATTTGTGTTTAGTTTTCTTTGTAAGTTCTTGGTGCTTTAAAGTTCCAAGTAAATGACAACATATAAAAGGTATTATACGTATTGCTTTTCTTGGGGCAATCTGTAATTCCATAATTTGATGTTGGTTAGTAAAACATGTTTTCCCCTTTCATTTAAAGCCACCAATAAAGTCTCTAAAAGATAAAAAATAAAATTATTGGAACTATGTTACCATAGAAAATTTGAGTATACCTTTAAAATGAAGAGATAAATCATCTACAGAAACTCAGACCAAGTCTCCCCATTTAATAGCATTTAACATTTAAGCAATGTTATCATGTCTAACTCCATTACCATAAAAGGCAGCATCATGATTATATCTGAATTTTGCAACATAATTAAATCTCTCTCCTAGATTTTAAAATTTACATATAAATGCAGAGCATCTGATTCAACCAGTGTGGCTAGTTTCTTGATCCCTCAGGCAGGACTGCAAGATAGTTAACTTTATGGATGGTCTATTTTTTTGAAAGGTTTGCCATTCCATTTAAACCAGTTCTGTAAACAATGAGAAACCATCTTTCAAAATAAGAAGTTGTTGATTTTCCAGTGTTTTCTTTTAAACTCTGGTCAATCTATATGGTAGGTTTTTTGGACACAAGTGCCACTCTGAAACTAGAAAATGAAATAGTAAAGTAAGCCATGTTAAACGATCCAAACAGAATTTTTTTGAAAATGCCAATAAACCGGGAAGATGGCTTGCATATAGATTGAAAAAAGAAAGAGAAAAAAGAATAAGCAAGCTACAGGACTCAAAAGGCGAGGTACACTGTCATTATGACACAGTGAAAAAAATTATTAAGGCCTACTATGAGACACTTCATAAGGCGGAGGTGGTTTCCAATGAGGCAATACAGGGCTATTTAAAAGGGGCTGATCTTCCAAAGGTGCCAGAGAATATGCGACAGATCTTAAATGAGAAGAAAACAATGATGGAGATTACAGAGGCAATTAAAAGGCAAAAAAAAAAGATAAGACTCTGGGGCCTGATGGACTTCCTGCAGAATTTTATGTAGTTTTACAAGATATAATAAGTCCGATTTTGAAGGAATTGTGCAATGAAATTTTTTCAGAGATAAAAATACCAAATTTGTGGTCTGAAGCCAACATTACCTTGATACCTAAAGAAGACACTGATCTCACACAAATTAAAAACTACAGACCAATATCATTATTAAATGTGGATTATAAAATTTTTACTTCAATAATGGCAGAAAGAATGAAGAAATTTTTGAATGAATTTATCCATACAGATCAAAATGGTTTTTTGCCTAAAAGATAGATAAAGAATAACTTAAGGATTATTTTAAATGTTTTGGAATAATTATGAAAACCATCCAGGGAAACAGTTGGCACTCATATTTCTTGATGCTCAAAAAGCCTTTGACAACTTAAACTGGCAATTTATGTTCCAACAGTTGACAGAAATGGACTTTGGTAAAAACTTTACAAATGCAATTCAGGCAATTTATAATAAACAAACAGCAAGGATACTTGTAAACGGACATTATATAGACAGTTTTGATATTAGAAAAGACACAAGACAGGGGTGTCCACTATCCCCTTTGTTATTTATTCTCACATTGGAAGTGCTGGCCAGGAATATTAGGCAGGATATGGAAATCAAAGGACTGGAAATAAAAGATCAGAAATATAAACTACAGGCCTTCGCAGATGATTTGGTTTTTATTTTGGAGGAGCCGTTGGAAACAGCTACTAAACTTTTGCAGAAAGTAGAGAAATTTGGAGAAGTGGCCAGCTTGAAAATAAATAGGGAAAAGACCAAGGTATTTACAAAAAACCTAACAGACAAACAGAAAACTCAACTTGTAAAAAAGAGAAACCTTCAAATAGCCAAAAAAAATCAAATATTTGGGTATCCACTTAACAGCTAAATATACAACATTAAAAGAAGATAATTACGAAAGACTACTGAAACAAATAAAACTAGATCTGGAAAAGTGGAAAAACCTTCAACTGTCATTGTTAGGAAAAATAGCGATTGTGAAGATGAACATTTTACCGAAGCTACTTTTCCTATTTCAAACAGCCCCTGTTAAATTGGGCAAGAAATTCTTTGGCGATTTAAATGCAACAATACTGAGATTTATATGGCAAGGGAAGAAAGCACGAATTAAAATCAAATTGTTACAAGAAACCAAAGACAGAGGGGGTTTTGGATTGCCGGATTGGAGACTTTATTATCAAGCAGCCATTTTGCTTTGGCTCAAAGAATGGATTACATTGAGAAATAAACGACTTCTTTATTTAGAGGGACACGATTTGCAATTGGGTTGGCACACGTTTTTGTGTTATGGGAAAAATAAAGTACATAAATATTTTCAAAATCATGCCATAAGGAATGTACTGTTCCCAGAATGGGAGAGAACTAAACAAAAAAATTATATGAAAATACCTGAGTGGCTTTCAACAATGGAAGCATTTGCTTACCCAAATTTAATTAACTATGACAAACTTGTTACTTATAAAGACATTTTAGACAAGGACGGAAAACTTAAAGACAGGCAGGTTCTTCAACAACAAGGTATTGATTTAACATGGTGGTCCTATCTGCAAATTCAAACAAGATACGAAAAAGATGAAAAATCAACAGGATTTTATAAAGAACAGACATTACTCGATAAAATACTCTTGAAAACAGACGATAACTTGATTAAGAAGCTCTACACATTCCTGCTAAGTTGGAAGATGGAAGAAGAACAAGTAAAAGAGACAAAGATAGTGTGGGCAAAACGTTTTGGATATTCTATAGATTTAGAAGATTGGCAAAAGCGTTGGGACATAAATATTAAACTTACTAAAGCAGCTTCATATAAAGAAAATTTGTATAAAATGTTTTATAGATGGCATATGACACCAGTTAGATTAGCGAAAATGTTTAAAAATGTATTGAACATTTGTTGGAAATGTAAACAAAAAACAGGCACTTACTATCATATCTGGTGGACATGCTCTAACGCAAAGAAATTCTGGTTTAAGATCCATACATGGCTGGAAAAGATGACCAAAATACAGATAGAAATTAAACCGGAATTGTTTTAGCTAGGAATAGTAGGATCTAACTATGGAAAAGAGAATGAATATTTAATATTACATGTATTGACAGCCATCAGAATAGTATTTGCCCAATTTTGGAAAAATGAAAATTTACCACCAGATCAGATTATAATTATGAAAATTTTAGAATGTGCAGAAATGGACAGACTAACTTTAGAGATTAAAGAGAGAGAAGACTCAGTTTACTTTACAACATGGGAAATTTTTTATCAATGGTTAGCAGCTCGATAGAATGAGAATGGATTGTGAAATTTAATAAGATGAAGGACATTTATTGACTAGACTTTACTTTCATGATTATTGTTATTATTAGCGATTATGATTACTTAGTATTATATTAATTATTGCTACTTAAGATGAATGATACTTACTGATTAACCTTTTTATGATTACTATCATTCTTGGTGACTATAATTGTTTAGTATTATATTAACTAAGGTTAATTAATATTGTAAAGCTAACAAGATGAACGATATTTATTGACTAAGCTTTATTTTTATGACTATTGTTATTATTAGTGATTATAATTATTCAGTATTATAGTAACTGTTTAGCTAGTAGGATAAACGACATTTATTGACTAACTTTTAATTTTTATGATTACGATTATTTTTTGTGATTATAACTTTTTAGTATTATTTTAATTACTGTTATTTAACATTTGTGCCCGGATGACAGTCTGCTTGCTAAAGCGATGAATTACTGTTGGGGGTAACCCCACTATTGTATCTTTCCCTACCCTTATCCCAATCTCACTCCCCAACCCCATCCAACACCCTTACCGATCTTATCCCTTCCCCACCCGTATAAAATCTAATAAAATATTTTTTTTAAAAAAGTAAGCCATGTAGAAGGATCCCTAGATCTTTAACATGGTACATACAGTGCTATTGTTAAGTACATTTTGTCCCATTAATGGAAGTTACTATTTAATGCAGACATTTCTAAAACTTCTTGGAAAAAAATAATCAGAGAAATTTTAAAAAGTATCACGGCTGCTCTTCCATTTACTGTGCTTTACATTTCACACAAGGTCAAGTAGTAATGCTAAAAGACAAGTAAATTTTCTAAGAACTTAATAAAAAAATAGGTACAGGTCTAAATTCTAAAACTCATTCCACGGAACCTACAGTTCTGTTTTTCTAATAGTAGAGAGCATATGTAACACAAGTTTGAACTGTTAGGTTCTTGGTGTTTTCCAAGTTTGGCTGTTTTCCCATAGATGTTTAATTACCAAGCTAAGTAACATCATCAGGACATGGAGGAATAATCTTGCTGGTTGGTTATACTATGTATAGTAGCGTATCAGCAAACCTCACTCTTCCATGCCCTGACTTTACCTAACCTGCAAAAATAAATCTACAAGAAAACAACCTAATTTAGAGAATACCAAGAACCCAACAGTTTAGTGTTCATTCAAAATCTTTCCTTTTCAGAGATTCACATCCTGAACACTTAAGATCAACTCAACTCTGTAACTTACTTTTTCAACTCATTCTCATATACACACTGAATTGAAACATCACACTTCGATTTTAGCATGGTAGTTCATAAAACAGGACTTATTGCTTACAATGTTCAGAACTCAGTTACTTGTGGTATATTCCACAAATCATTTAAGACTTAATGCAATATACACACCTTACCATACATTGATATTGTCTAGTCAAGCAAAAGGAAATCAGAATTTTCCTGATTTTTATTGCTACCTTACTCATTTTTCCCCCTGAATGGTGAGGTTTTCATTTCTGATCACATTTGTTCTTTCTCCTCCTTCTCCTACCCATTATGTTAAATTGTCTTCAATCCACTCCTAGCCTGTCTACTTAGTGTTTCCACATTATTAAGTCACATAAACCTCTACCAGTTTCCCTACTACTAGGCCAGAACCTTCTACTTTACCAGATAAATGAATGTAATCTGCCCACATCCTGCTTCAAAAGGAAAAAGAACTGGCACAGTTAGTCCTTGATTTATGGCCACAATTGAGTCCAGAATTTCTGTTGCTAAGCGAGAGAGTTAAGTGAGCTTTGCCCCATTTTACAACCTTTCTTCCCACAGTTGTTAAGTGAATCACTGCAGTTGTTAAGTTAGTAACCCGGTTAAGTGATTCTGGCTTCCCCGTTGATTTTGTTTGTCAGAAAGTCATAAAAGGTTATCACATGACCCCAGGACATCCATTGCAATAAAGATGTGTTGACTGCCCAGACAAGTCCCCACAGTTTGCTTGGAAAGATTTCAAAAATCTTCACCTTCTTCCTAGAACCAAGAGAGAAAGGCTGGCCCAAAGTGATCCAACTGTTTTTATCCACTGGCAGAACTAGAGCTCATAGTCTCCCAGTTATTAGCCTGATGCCTTAACCACTACACCCAGCTATCTCTCAATAAAGATTGCCAAAGACCCATATTTATTTTTTGACTGCTCCCTACTACGATATATCTTTCTAAATCAAACACATTAATCTTCACAACATTTCAGGGACCAACATCATATTGCTCACTCTCATCTTCTATTGTTTGCGACTGCTAATATTACGGTCACCTTTCAGGGTTAAGTGCTCAGTGACCTAACCCAGATGAAATAGCAAAAGCTTCTATTTCCTCTACATAGGAGCCAACGAAAGTCCTAACACAGTGGCGGCAAACCCATGGCACAGGTGCCAGAGGCGGCACTCAGAGCGCTCTCTGTGGGCACGCGCGCCATCGCCCCAGTCCTAGGTCTTCAGCTGGGTTTTATAAAACCTTTTCACTTTAGGCCTCCAGCACCGTGTACAAAAAAAAAAAAGGTTCAATCAATCAGTCAATTTCAACTTCTCGTGGGGGAAAAAAAAAGATCTTGCAAAGTTGGAATTGATTAATTGAACTTTTTAGTCCCACCCAGTCTGCTGTTACCACCGCAGCCACCCCCACCCGGCACCCCGACGATGCATAAGTGGGTTTTGGGTTGCAGTTTGGGCACTCGGTCTCTAAAAGGTTCGCCATCACTGGCCTAACACATTCTGAAATCTGGTTTGAAAGAGCTGCTCCTCACCCAGATTAATCTTGAAATCTTGTGGGGCAGGACACTGGTTATCTAGAATAGCCACTCCTTATTAAAACTGAAAGTAATTCCCCTTAAATACTTAACAAAGGATTGTAAAGAGAGGGACAGTGTTAGCCTGCTTTTTTAGAGAGCAAGTTCTAGAACATAAATTACACAGCCAAAGCTGATTTTTTTTTTATTCACGCCCGGAGACTCATCAATCAATCAATCAATCAATCAATCAATCAATCAATCAATCAATCAGATCTCAAGCCATTGTGGTCATATGTGGATAGCCACAGCTCTCAGAATTTCTGCGTCTCATCGGTTGAGATATACTGCATTTGCTGGCAACAGATAGGCAGGCGGAGTAAACCGGGAAACCATTAATAAAATGCTTTAGAGCCCGCAACTGCAATCCTCACAATACTACACCCTGTACTGTAACGAGGAGGACATAGTAAGAAAAAAAAAAAGACATGTTACCACGTTAGGAGCCAAGGACAACCCCCCCCTCCTCAATATAATCGTTTAAAGGGGTAAAAGCTAACTTGACCTAACACACGAGGCAACTATAACCGGCGTTGTACGCTCCGCACTCCGTCGTTTTCGGGGACAAAGGTGAGAGAATCACCCTCGCGACGACGCCTGAACGGAGCTCAAAGGTTGAACTGATAAAAGACCCGAAACGTGAGCGTCTCCCTCTGCGCAGAAGCAAGGAAAGAGGTGGGGGGGGGCCGGTTTCTGCTGCGCGGGGGCAAGGGCGGGAAGTGGGCGGGGGAAGCCGCGGGTGATAAAGAGGGGGCGTCGCGCGTTCTGTCAGTTGCATCGCAGGAGCCCGTGCGACGTCTGCGCAGCTGATTGGTTCCGGCGCCGGCTCTAGGCCAAGCGACTGGAGCTTTCCTTTGACGGTTCGCGAAGCGGCTGCGATGGGCTCTCGGGCGTCGACGCTGCTTAGGGACGAGGAGATCGAGGAGATCAAGAAGGAGACGGGCTGTGAGTACCGATCGAAACGATTAGCGGCGGCAACGCCGGCCGATGCAGGGCGCTGACCTTCGCCTTTGGGATTCCGGCCGGGCGAATTTGCTTTCCTTCGTGGTTGAATAGCTTTCACTGCCCCGACACGAGCTCGCCCTTCCGCGTTTTCGCCTCCTCGGACGGAGGGGCCCGGATTGAGCGAGGTGGCGCTGGTGATTTATCCCGGTCATGGCCATCACTCCGCTCGAAGCCCTGCCACGGGTCTCTGGGTCACCTTGGCTCAGTGCGGCGGGGCTACCCAGCTGCCTCGCCCGCTCCCTAGCCTGTGCCCTTTGCTCGACAAGGGCCGGTATCGGTCGTCTGAGTCGGCGCGACCCGCAGCATCCAAAAGCCCTGCTCGTACGGCACAACGAAGTGCCTTCGTGTGCCTTATATCCGGTCACAGGACACCGGGGAGAGCTTGGCATTTGGGGAAACGATCCTCTTTTGCCCCACTTGGGAGACGGCTAGAGGACTGTGTTAAGATGCATCCCCGGGCCTTGAGTCGGCAGAAAAGTTATGCCGGCAGGAAATTGGTGGCTCTGATGGTCGTTCCCTATTTTGCTTCAGTGGCAGGGCTTGCTGAATGGGACTGCCCTTGCCATTTTCATGTAGTACAGTGTTTCTCAACCTTGACAATTTTAAGGCATGTGGACTTCAACTCCCAGAATTCCACGGCCAGCAATGCTGGCCGTGGAATTCTGGGAGTTGAAGTCCACATGCCTTAAAATTGTCAAGGTTGAGAAACACTGATGTAGTAGAACAGTGGTTCTCAACCTTTTTAATGCCGCGACCCCAACCGGTCGTAAGTTGAGGACTAAACCGGTGGTAAGTTGAGGACTAAACCGGTTGTAAGTCGAGGACTAAACCGGTCGTAAGTCGAGGACTACCCAACCGGTCGTAAGTCGAGGACTTTCCCTGCCCGGGAGCGCCACGCATGTGTGGTTCCGCCCCCTGCGCCGGCCGAGGCGTACCTGGCAAGCGGCAGAGACGGAGCAGGCCGACCACCAGCTGGCCCAGCCCAAGGGAGGTAAGGCACCCGCCGGAAAAGGGGGAAAAAATGGTGGACAAAAAAAATGGCAGACAGCCTTGCTTGGCGACCCCCATGAAATGGTCGATCGACCCCAAATGGGGTCCCGACCCACAGGTTGAGAACCACTGATGTAGTAGAACAAGTGAAGAAAACTAATCGGTGGGTCCCTCTTGCTTCATTTCCTGCTTTATCAAGTGTCGCCTGCCTGTGGGAAAAACAATCGGTGATCACTTTCCTTAATAGGGAGAGGAGCAGGATTGCGCAAGTATAGGTGGGTGCTTTAAACAGAGAGTTTCACACCTATTAAATTGCCCAACTACCCGGTCCTAGGCATGGGAGTATTTTGAACCTGTAAAGTTTCAGTCTAATCAATTCTAAACATAAAGACTTGAAAGAGCACTACACCTGTGTCCAAAAATAGCCTACCTGGCAAGTCACAGGTGCGGAGAGGAGGCTCACAGCAAAGCAGGAGGGAATTCTTCTGGTGCTCCTGCTCAGAACAACCTCTCTTCTTGCCTGGGGCTTGTTATCAGATAATTTCTAAATATGGGCTACTGAAAGATCAAGCCAAGTGATTGGAGACGGAGCAGATGGCTGGCATAAGAATGAAAGAATCGGTACTGCTCAGGAAAAGAGGATAAGCCGCATAAGAAGGAATTGGGGGAACTGTTTGAGAAAGTTGTAAATGTGGAAATTGCGTGAGGAGGACCTGGAAGCCAAGGACAAATTGAGATGAAAAAAAGTATGAGAAAAGATGAATGTTTTCATACATGCCCTGTATAAAGGTGCTGTGATGATTTTGTATATAGGGCATTTCCAGCAATATAAAGTGGACAGAGTGGAAGATAGGAATGGCCAATGAGAACATGAACATCCGGTAATCTCCATGCGATGCCTCTTTTTCCTCTCGGCAGACCCAATCCATTTGTGATTGCTTTGGATTTCTGGGCTTGGTTCCAAGCAATGGAGGGGGAAAAGGCTCCCTATCCCAGCAAATAAGGGAAAGGTCTGATGCAATGATAGTAAGCCAAAAGAATGCTGCAGCTTCCATGTTCTTTTTGCCTTCTGATGTGAGGAGCCTGGAATTCAGAAAGGGGTGTCTGCCAGACATTTCCTCTCTTTCAACCCTCCCCATATGAAAGTTGTGGTGATAAACAACAATAAAGTTGTAATTAAAATGACTTTCTGTGCAACAAAGAACATTGTGTTCTCTCAAAGGGAATTCAAGTTCTGTTTTGTAAGCACAGGTCTAATGTTTTTTTTCTAAAGAGGATTACATTCGTGTATATAAGGATCTTGTGTGAGATCCCACAAATGTTTGGAAAAAATCAGTCAAGTATCACATGTACAGATGCCTCTACAGAAGTCAGGTGTCCAGTCTCTTTCAAGCCAAAATCCCATTAGGAAACAGGATAAAGGAAAAGGGACAAGGTTACAGCAGGCCTAGGTAACTAATAAGAGCTGAGCAGATCTTAGCTTTAACAAAATTGCCCAAGCACATTGTCTTTGAAGTTTTCCACGTAGTGCCCATAGCAAAAATTGGGTTGAGAAAAGGAAGAAAACACAATATACAGATGCCAAATCATGTTTATATGAACACCCCCTCCTTCTATGAAAAAGTAGTCCCCCTTGCAGCCAAAGGATATGTTATTTTCCATGTAACAAAAAAGTACGGTAGTCTTTTTCTATTTGGTGTTGTATTTCAATTCTTTATTATGTTATTAGAGCAAGTATAGCAGTTCAGTTACTCACCTAGTCATTTTAGAATAATGGAATGTGATGTCATGGGAACAATTCTGGAAGATTTTTAAAATTTGCCTGTTTTGTTTTTTAATATACAGTAGCAGCCTATTTAAAATATGTAGACATCTATGAACATAGCTGTAAATCATTCTCCCATTGCTAAATTGCTGTCACTTGAGGATTTTTCATTGTTTAAGACTCATATATAAATGCCATTTTGCTTAATTTGTAACATTGGATAAGTATTCAAATTATTTTAACTTTTTGTTAGGATTTTTATGCTGCTTTATTATAAGCATTGATGAACGTTTTAAAAATATTTCTGTCTATTGATTGGTAATGATAATGGAGCATATTGGGAGGAGAATAATTCACTCTTATTACTGCATTGATTCATTAGTTAATCATTAAGGATAGATTTGTGCTTCTTACTGTTTTGTGCATATTTTACCTTTGTTAAGAGCATTATTTGTCACTGTGATATCCTGATCTTTTTAAAATGACAAATATAGAGCTACCAATTCAAAATCGATATTTATATGAAGTACTTTTTCTTAGATTGTATGCAATGTAGTAATAATTTATAACCAAGTTCTAACAGAATAGTTCCATGAGTACATACTGAGAAGTAAATACCATAGAATTTAGTTATATTTTAGTCACACCACAACAATATATTAATCTTACATGTTCTTTCATTTCTATTTCTCCTTCATAGAATTGGATCTATTACTATGTGAATCTTTGTTTTTATATATGTAAAATGCATGCATGCTATTGGCATGTTATTTATAATTATAATTTATCCTTGACATATCCTGGAGTAGCACAATTAGAAAAAATAATTTGGAATTTTTACCTCTGCCTATCCTCCCATAATTTTCTTGAGTGCAATGAGAGGTTTTAGCATGGTTTTAATAACTGTACCTTTGTACCTCTAATTTAAAATATGCTGCAGCCTTTATCTTATGAAGATGAACAACCTGATAACATTGTAATTTTCTTTTTATAGTTAAAGAATTAAAGCTAAAAGAGCAAGTTGCCTGGGGCCTCCTATTAGTTTTGTGGAAGAGCTGGGTCCTAATGTGGATGTCTGTTATCAAAAAGAGGGGGGTTTATTAGGCGATGTCATTTAATAATAGAGGAAAGACGAGTTAGATAGTTTGAAGTTACTTGCAAGTGTTTAGTATTTTGTGCATGTGTGTGTGTTTGGTCTGATACAGTTTTATATTAGAGAAGCCAAGCTAGCACTTGAATGTACGAACTGCCATACTGAATTAGACAAAGGTGTTTATAATACAGATTGTTATTCCAACTGTTACTTCTAACTTGAGACCTAAATGTTGTGTTCCTCAGTAGTTGAAGACTGTTAATTAAGTGAAATACTACCTTGGTTATTAAATATCAATGATGATAGCTAACTTATAGTTACTGAGTAGTGTACGGTTGCTTTGTCATAAAAATATTAGAACTCAAAACAATGAATTTATAAGTCAATAGTGTCCTTGTATAATAAAGACTGATACCAGCCTCTGTGCTGAGGTGTATGAACAGGGACAATTCTCTGTTACTGTACTTAGGATATCAAAAACAGAATCAATATGTAACACTTTGGTGTTCGTTGAAGTGGGTGTATCTGTTGCTTAATTGATAATGGGGTAGATTAAAATAATATTTTTAGGGGTGTCCTATGCAGTCAGATTGTATTTGCAGCAGTTTCAGTGTTGATCTTGTTTCAGATCAGCTAATTAGACTTTACCTTTTCATTTTTTAATCTTAATTTCTCCTCACCTGCTCTCACAAACTAATTTTCATACTATTTTCCTCCTCCTTAACACTTCCCTTCTAAACCCTTTCTCAGAGTCCTATTGTAATAGGAGTCCTTGGGATAAAGAATGCTAAATCCC